ATAAGGTCTAGAACGATGTATGCCAAGTTTCGTGAAAATCGGTTCAGATATAGATATAGCTCCCATATATATCTTCGTCCGATTTAAGGTAAATTGTGTACCAAAGTCCCTATATATCTTTAGATTTGCACGAAATTTGGCACAGCGTAATGAATAAGGTCTAGAATGATGTATTCCAAGTTTCGTGAAAATCGGTTCAGATTTAGATATAGCTCCCATATGTAGCTCCGCCCGATTTTAGGTAAATAGTCCACTAAAGTCCCCGGAAATCTTTTGGTATAGCGTACTGAATTAAGTCTAGAATGATGTGTGCAAAGTTTCATGACAATCGGTTCAGATTTAGATATAGCTCCCATATATATTTTCTTCCGATTTAAGGTAATTGGTGTACCAAAGACCCTATATATCTTTCGATTTGCACGATTTTTGGCATAGCGTACTGAATTAAGTCTAGAATGATGTGGCAAAGTTTCGTGAAAATCGGTTCAGATTTAGATATAGCTCCCATATATATATTGGTCCGATTTAATGTAAATGGGCCACCAAAGTCCCCATATATCTTTCGATTTGCATGAAATTTGGCACAGCGTAATGAATTGGGTCTAGAATGATGTGTGCTAAGTTTCCTGAAAATCGGTTTCGATTTAGATATAGCTTCTATATCTGACCAAATGAAAAATTTAGCATCGGTTGCAGAATGACATGTTTATAGATCCAATTTCATTTTACTGGTCCCTTCAAAATGCGACGTCTGTTAGGATTCATCTGTTGAATATACCCAAAGTGGCGACTTTACTACTTTCCTTACTGGTTTTGTTTTTCCGTTTGTAACTCATCGAAATAATCATTTCCGACCCTATAAAGTATATATATTCTTGATCAGCGTAAAATTCTAAGACGATCTAAGCATGTCCGTCTGTCCGTCTGTTGTAATCACTCTAGCGTCTAAACGAGTTGAGATAGATCGCCAAAATTTTGCACAGAGTCGTCTTTTGTCTGCAGGCAGGTCAAGTTCGAAGATGGGATATATCGGCCCACGTTTAGGCATAGCTCCCATATAAGGGTACCCCAAAATTTTCGGTATTTTGGTGTTCTTGAGCGCGTTTTTCAACCGAATTCGCTGAAATTTGCTACAATAGGTTCTTATTGGGTCCTAAATGTCTCCACAAAAAATTATAAATATAGGTCTATATTTTGGGAAGCCCCCATATAAGGGTACCCCTAATTTTGCGGTATTTTGGGGGGTTTGATCGCATTTTTCAACCGAATTCGCTGAAATTCGGTACTTTGAGTTCTTATTGGGTAGCAAATCTCTACACTGAAAATTATAAATATAGGTCCATTTTTTTGGGTAGACCCCATATAAGGGTACCCCCCAATTTTCGGTATTTTAGGGTTCTTGAGCGCGATTTTCAACCGAATTCCATGAAATTTAGTACATTTGGTTCTTATTGGGTACCAAATATCCCCACTAAAAATTATAAATATAGGTCCACTTTTTCTGGTAGCCCCCATATAAGGGTACCTCCCAATTTCCAGTTGTTGAGGGGTTTTGACCGGATTTTTTCACCGAATTGGCTGTAACTTAGTAATTTGAGTTCTTATTGGGTAGCAAATCTCTCCACAAAAAAATTATAAATATAGGTCAATTTTTTCGGGTAGCCCCCATATAAGGGTACCCCTTAATTTTCGGTATTTTAGGGTTCTTGAGCGCGGTTTTCAACCGAATTCCCTGAAATTTGGTTTTTTGTAGTCGTATATGGTAACAAATCTCCCCACCAAAAATTATTAATATTCACCCCTTTTAGGGGTAGTCCCCTTATAACTCCCTTTTTATACCCTCCACCATAGTACGGAGGGTATATTATTATACCCTCCACCATAGTATGGAGGGTATTTTAATTTTGTTGAGTTGTAATTGGGTTTTTGTAACTCATTGAAATAATCATTTCCGACCCTATAAAGTATATATATTCTTGATCAGCGTAAATTTTAAGACGATCTAAGCATGTCCGTCTGTCCGTCCGTCTGTCCGTCTGTTGTAATCACTCTAGCATCTAAACGAGTTGAGAAAGATCGCCAAAATTTTGCACAGAGTCGTCTTTTGTCTGCAGGCAGGTCAAGTTCGATGATGGGATATATCGGTCCACGTTTAGGCATAGCTCCCATACAGTGTTGCCAATTTAGCACTTTTAGTGCTAGATTTAGCACTTTTTGAACTCGTTTAGCATCAAAAAAATTGATCTAGCACCTAGCACTTTTTTTAGCATTTGTTAACTTCTTAGGATTTTTTTTACAAAATTTTGGTTTCAATCCAAAAAATCCCGTTTTTCGATTTCATATTGACGCATTGAATTTTCACTATGTTTCACGCGATGAATTTGATTTTCCAATGGTCGGGTACTTCATGTGGTGACTATGACATTGTCTGTTGGTAGATTGTTTATTTGGGAAAATGAACACCCAAATTAAGTTGTACATTTTATGAGAGCGATGTAAAAATAATGAACATGAATTATATTGGAACTTTCTGAAAACAAATATTTTATTCAGCGGGAATCCCGAATGCCAAGTTATAACCACTTTAGATTACCGAAAAGGCGTGCGTACCCCTTTATATTGGAATTGTGCCAGAATAAGGACCAAAATAGAAAGACCCTCCACCATAGTATAGAGGGTATATTAATTTTGTTTTTCCGTTTGTAACACATCGAAATAATGATTTCCGACCCTATAAAGTATATATATTCTTGATCAGCGTAAAATTCTATGAAAAATTATTAGTATACGCCCCCATTTTTGGGGTAGTCCCCATATAACCCCCTTTTTATATTAAAATAGTAATCTGATTTGTTCCGCGTTTTGAATTTGGTTCTGAGACTCCATTGTAATCATTTCACCTGCGGAGGAAAACGAGATAAAAAATTAGATCGTAAGGTTTGATAATGAACTACATCCGCATTTAGACCTATCCCATGTGTGGAGGTTCCACTAAGTTTGGAAGAAATAATAAGATGGGCAAAGTTTTGTTGGATTCTAATTTTTCGGAGACGGATTTAGTCCAAAGAAACGTGGGGTCTAGAACCAATATTTCGATGAGGCACATTTTCACCGTGTTAAGGTGTGTACACCCTCCATTAAAAAATTCTGAAATTTGTATTATGGTTAACAATTTGGTTTACATAATCCGTTTTTAGAAATATCGGTATAGGTCCACTTTTTGGTATGTTCCCTATATTTTCATTTATAGTACCTGTCAGTATATCTATGGTGGAGGGTATCCAAAGTTCGGCCCGGCCGAACTTAACGCTTTTTCACTTGTTTTTCTTTTAAACGGTGCTCGTTTAATATATATTTGTGTTTTTGCAATAAATAAGTCTTTCTCTTATACAGATTTTCAATTAAGCGGTTTTTCTTTTAAACGAAGTAAAGTGTTTGAAAATTCATCCGAAATATTAATTTAAAACTTTTAGTTTCAATTAACCGATTTTTTCAATAAACCGGCGTTCACTTATCCGAATTCGACTGTATATCTCCCCCATATAGTTTCGTGCGATTTTATGTAAATGGAGCACCATACTGCCAATATTGGTCCGATTGGGTCAAAATGTAGCACAGAGTACTGAATTTGGTCCAGATTGATGTATTCGAAGTTTTTTTGAAATCGGTAAATGGTGCACCAAACTCCCAATATTGGTCCGATTGAACTGTGTCAAGAATAATGTGAGCTAAGTTTCGCGAAAATCTATTCAGAATTATTTATAGCTCCCATATATACTTTGGTCCGGTTTTATGAAAATAGTTCATTAAAGACCCGAAGTTTGTACGATTGACACACAATTTTGTACAACGTACTGAAGAAAATATAAATTGCATACAAAATTTCAATTTATATATTTCTAACGGGTGTCTGATTGATATTAAATTTTGAATAGCGCATATCAGATTACTTTAAATCGAATTACATAAGTTTGTACCATTGTACGCAAACGACTCCAAATCTGCCCGAATGAAATTTAGCATAGGTTGCAGAAAGCCACGTATATGAATTTATGTTAGTCGGGTCACATATTTGAATTCCTTCAATTTCATGTCAATGTTCCTCCGAAAAGGCGACGTCTGTTAGGATAGATATATAGAATATTCCCAAAGTGGTAGTCGGCCCAGTCCGACTGTATTACTTTCTTTTTGTACAGAAAAAAACATTCAGGCACTCAGGTTCATCCACGAAAACGTATCTAGGTAACTCCCGAATTCTGATTTTAAAATATCTACTTTAAAATTTTCATAAATAAATTTCTAAGGAATGCTCCCCTCACGACTGTAAACTTGCGTACAAATATTTTGCTTAACTTTTGATATCCTGCCAAACCAAAACAAATAAATAAACCATATACTCACGTCGATTCCGATCGGCTTCCTCGGCCAAGAGTTTTTCAATTTTCTCCGGAAAATGTCGTTTGGCACACCATACCAAGCCGATAACAGCCAGAACAACAAATACTGTAATAAGACCTAGCCAAAAGGGCTCTTGCAGCATGCGTTCCGACAACGGCTTATAGGGTATATGCAGCATACGTTTCTCACAGCGATGTCCCTCCCACCAGGCATAACAGCTAGAATAACAAGGAAGATAAGAACAAGAGCAACAGTTACAAAATATATATTCCCCTCTTCTAAGCGGGCCATACTTACCGACAAAAGAAACCGCCATTCTTTTCAATGCAAACACCACGACCTTCACAGGGATTCTCCGAGCAGGGCTTTTGTTTTTGTTCACACGTTGTACCCATATAACCAGCTTGACAATGGCACTATCAATTTGCAATTGTATTAAAAATAAATAATTGTGAATGAAAAACGGATATTCTCAAGCAAGCCAAACATAACCTCAAGTCTTATTATTATCTATTGTTGTTGTTGTTGGTTTTATTTACCTTGAAATTATTTGCTGTCAATTCACATCGGCCAAAGACACAGGGATCTAGTTCACACATATTTAGACCACAAAATCTATATATAATAATGAAAGAAGCATGGTAAGGGAGAAAGGTGAGAGAGGGGGAGAACGAACAAATTTGTTATAAATTTTAGTCATTGTAGAAATTTTAGTCTTTGTTCACAGCAGGATTAGCAGGATTTTTGTGGCTGTGCCAGCACACAGCTCAGTTCAGTGCATTTACCTTCCAGTGTAATGGCCCAGACATTGACAGTAACTGCTTCCATTGTTGGCAATGCACTTGCCATTGTATTGGCAAGGATTCGGTTGACATGCTTCGACACTCAAATCCCCTGATGCTAATTTAATTTTGTAATTATTATCTGAAAATAGTCGAAAAAGAGAAAGAGAGACATAGAGGATGGATTAGAGAGAGTTGTTGACAAAGGCAGATTTAGCATGTCCTTCTTTAATTATAGTTTGTACTCTTTCCGCCCCCCAAAATACAATAACACTAAAGAGGAAAATATTAGGATTGTGTTAAAGTATTTTGAGAATAAAAATAAAAACCGAAAATGAGTAGCTTTCTCCCGGGAATCCGTCAAGTCTCTAATTAAAGTATACAAAGGATTTGTAAAATTGGGGAATAATAATCCATATATTGTACAGAATAAACGTGTAGATTTAAGAAATATTGTAAAAAGGTCGCTTCTATTAGCGTGAATTTTTCAGGAAACCTCGCCACAATAATTTTTAAAGAATATTTTTAGTGGGCCCTCGCCGAAATATGTGTTGACTTGTTTTTATACCCTCCACCAAAAATTGGAGGGTATATTACAATAAATTTGTCATTCAGTTTGCAACACCTCGAAATATTCACCGGAGACACCATAAAGTAGAAATATTCTTGGCCAGAATAAAATTCTACGTCAATTTAAGCGAGTCCGTCTGTTGAAATCTCGATAGAAATCGCAATATTTAAAATAGAGCACTGAAATTTTGCACCGATATTTCTAGTACTCCTAGGATGTTTTGCATTGCAAATGGGATATATCGGTGCTCGTTTCGGGTTAGCCCCCCATATAAAGGTACCCCCCAATATTCCGTATTTTGGGGATTTTGGACAAGTTTTCCAACCGAATTGTCTATAATTTGGTATTTTGGGTTCTCATTAAATAACACATATCTTTACCAAATACTGACCTTAGAGGTAGCCCTCATATAACGAAACCCCCCAAAAATTTGGTATTTTGGGGATTTTTAACACGTTTTCTAACCGAATTGGCTGTAATTTGGTATTTTGGGTTCTCATTGGATGATTGATCTCCATTTCAGGGTATCCCCCATCTAACGGTACACCCCAATACTCGTTATTTTGGGGATTTGGAACACGAACAGGCTGTAATTTGCTATTTTGTTTTAACATTGGCTAACACATATCCATACCAAAGCCCAGTTACGGCTTCACCACTTTGGGTACATACAAGAGGTGCTCACAATATCCTTTAGATAGAATAGACATAGTATACATAGATATTTGAACTAAATTAAAACAACCCATACACATACCAATCTGAAATTTATAAAATATTGAATTTCAATCATCGAGAAAAATATATAAAATATCACAGTGCGCTATGCAACATTTATCTCGACACATAATCCAATACACGTTATTCTAGGTTCGATTTTTAAAATATAAGGAATATATATATAAACCTAAAATTTATTCAATCAAATACGCTATGCAATAGTTCATGTAAAGCGAACATACATAGGCTCCTCCAATTCACCATTTGAATAAAATCGGACAAAAATATATGTAATATATAAAAAAATATATCAAGCTGGTTTCAACAACAAAATATCGGGCAAATAGAACAGGGTGTATATGTGAGGTATATTTAAATCCGAATCAATTTCCAACATGACAAAAAGCATTCTAGACTATATTCCATATTCACTGCTAAATTTCGTGAACATAGCACAAACATAGATTCTTCGATGCATCATTTACATAAAATCGGACGAAAATATATATGGTATCTATATCTAAATTTGATCCTATTTCAACAAAACTTCACGGATGTCAACCTGTAACAACAACATTTTGTCTCAATCTGAAAACATTGACAATATGGTGTTCCATTTACATAAAATCGAACGAAACTATATATGGAAGCAATATCTAAATCTGAACCGATTCCAACAAAACTTCGTATACATCAATCCAGACCTAATTCTGTAAGCTGTGCAAAATGGGAGCTATATCTAAATATGAACCGATTACAACAAAACTTGGCATACATCAATCTAGACCAATTCAGTACTGATCTGATCTATATTGGGAGTTTGTTGCACCATTTACATAAAATCGGACAAAACTATATATAGGAGCTATATCTAAATCTGAACCGATTTTCTCCAATTTCAATAGGGTTTGTCCTTGAACCAAGTAAATCATTCCAATCGGATTATCATGTACTTTGATCACAAAAATACATGGACGGACATGCCTTAATATACTCAGAAAGTGATTCTGTGCATATTATCAATGAGAACAATGGGCCTATCTCAATTCCTTTTGCCTGTTACAGAGATATGTACAAGGACTTTATACCGACAGTGTGGTGATGGGTATAATTATTAATATTGACCCAAATTTTAGGGTAACGGTAACCCCCGAATATCCGATATTTTGGGGATTTTGGAGACGTTTTCCAACCGAATTGGCTGTCGTTTTTAATGACACATTTCCATACCAAAAATCATTAATATTGACCAAGATTTGGGGTATGCCCCATACAGCGGTACCTCCCAATATTCGGAATTTAGGGGATGTTGAATTAGTTTTCCAAACGATTTGGCTATAATTTAGTATATTGTGTTTATATGGATAACAAATATCCACACCAAAAAATATTAATATTGACCCAAGATTTGGGGTTGCCTCTATATAACGACACCCCTAATATTCGGTAATTGGCGGATTTTGGACAAGTTTTCCAACCGAACTGACTGCTGCTTGGTATTTTTGTTCTCATTGCATGACACATATCCGTACCAAAAATGTTAAATATTGACCCAAGTTTCATAGTAGCTCCCATATAACGGTAACCTCCAATATTCGGCATTTTAGGAATTTGGACATGTTTTCCAATCAATTGGGCTGTAATTTTCAATTTTGAGTTCTCATTGTATAGCACATCCTTGTATTAAAATTTTTAATATTAACCCAAATTTAAGGGTAACCCCTTATAACGAAGGCCAGATCTCCACTCCAAAAAATTTTAATATTGACCCAAGTTGGTATGTGAGAATTTTGGATAAGGTTGCCTGTAATTTGTTCTTTTGTATTCTCATTTACGTTCAAACCTCACTACCAAAAAATATCAATATTGATCACCGTTTTATTATAGCCCCTTTATTAGATATTTGGAAAATTTCAATGATGTTCAAAGTTCAAGGTCCTATCATAACATGAGTTTTCTCCTAGGAGCACCATTAATTAGAGATATTTTGATTCTTGCTGGAGGGTATAAAAAGTTTGACTGGGCCGCAATTAACATTGTTTTTGTTTGTTAAGTATGTTTATGTTTTTATTGGATCTTGTCATTTCCATAATTATACATAATCCCCATCAAATGTTGAGTTGCATTTTCCCTGAGAAGTTTTTGTAAAAAAAAAATTCAACCAAACCAGATAAAAACAATCTTAAATATTCTCTATACCCCAATCCTCAAATACTTATTACTTACCATACCGTATAGGTAACAAATTAAATCACATATACTAATACACGTGCACATGTTCCTCTTCTACGATGCCTAAAGGTCTTGTGTCTGATCAACAGTTGAACATGTTTGATACAAACACACATTTAGTGTTTCTAATTGAGTTTTGGGGATTTTTTGTTGTTGTTGTTGTTAGTGCACTAAATCTATGTTTAAATAAAAATTGCCAAAAGGGTATAGAGGCTGGATGTTTGACAAGGTGAATTACATTACGTTTAAGTGCTTGTATTACATTTCAGATGAGATGGGGTAGGGTTGAGCATTACAAAATTCAATGACAAATCATGAGGGATTAGAATAAGCAAAAGGTATGACAAAATGAATTTACTATTGGCTAGTTTGCAATAAATGCAATTTTAATCCTTAAAATATGCATGGAATCTTTATAAAAATGTAAATAGAAGCTCATTGCACTAGAATCATAATCATCACATAATCCTTTCAAATAGAATCCTCATCTTGTTATTATTTATTTACGTTCGTTTACAATAATATTTAATTAAATAATTCTCCGACAAATTTACCTGGTCACATTTCATCTCTCAACTCTGATATCGATTTAACCTTTTCAAAAATCGATTGGCAAATGTTTACATTTAAGTAAATTAATTAAAATTATATGCAATTGCAGTTCACTGGTCTTCAACTTCTAAACTGCATTTGCATTTTTTTTGTTAAATAAATTCTATGGAATTCATTAAGTTTGGACATTATCTAAATGGACATAGTCGTTAGTGCGTATGAGTTTGTGGTAAAATAAAATTAAATAAACTAAGAACAAAACTAACAAATAATCTTTATCGAGTACAGAAAGAATAATCTGATATTGCAATGGCAAATCAGGCAGGTTCGTTTTCAAATGAACATGTGTATATATGTGTGTTTGTAATTGTGTATCGACTTTATTTGTTTGTATAGGATGCTACAAAATTTGTAGTGGTATGTCAACTCAACAGAAATGTATGTCGAGATTTTAAATGTCTCCCCACAAGGTTCCCATCTTTTTAGATTGTGATTTGACATAGATACCGAAATATGGTAATTATTTCAAAATGATGACCGATATATCCCATTTATTAAACAAGTGAAAAAGCGTTAAGTTCGGCCGGGCCGAACTTTGGATACCCTCCACTATAGAAATACTGAAAACTTTTTGAAATGAAAATATAGGGAACATACATATAACTACAATTCTTCCTATCGATTGTTACAAACCAAATAGAAATTTCAGCAATTTCAATGGTGATGTTCCCTAAAATCTTCAAACCCCAAAATGTTGACATATATTATAACCGCATGGTAGGGTGAAACATGTGTATAAAATCCTGAAAATAATCCAACTTAGAAGGCAAATTTATATGATGTGTAGGAATTAGCGAATACTTGGTGTTTTTATTATATAAGAGGTTAGGCCTAATTAAGGGCCGATATAGCTCAAGTTCAAAGCTAATAATTTAGTTTTG